CCATGCAACTCTTTTCTCATGGTCAACATGGCCAACAGCATGGATCGCGGGCGCATGCGCCCAACAACGACGACGACATCGCACTACATGGCGGCCATACTACAGCTAATACCAAGTCATGCAGCCTTGGTTTACAGCATGCATATTGGACATCCATGTTATGGTTAATTGACACCTATCAAAATAGGGTATCCACTGACCAGTATCACGTGACCACATCACTGGCTCAAGTTTAGAGCTCATCGAGATCACAGGTTTTTTTTAAAGTTGACCGCTGACCAAGTGCTGGTTTTTGGATTGGATCGCAAGCTCATGTTTGGTTAACTTGTTGTAATCAAGGCTGGATTGTTCAGTGAACAGTGAACACTTACAATTTGTGGAGAGACTCCAAAGCACAACCAACAGTGAACTTCTCTTAACCTGGGGTCTTTTGTTTTGTGTACTTTGAGATTATAGAAAGCCAAACAAAAAACAGAAAATCTCTCCGCAAAGTTACAAAACTCAAATGAGACTTTTCAGGCTTTGAAAAACCCGGTCCCATAGCTCCACTTTTAGGCTTGGCTAAATCTATATATCATATTGTATGTTGTACAGTGCCAATAAAACGTATGATTTGGTAAAATATCCTACTGTTATGTAGTTGAGATGAGAACTTTGGCATTACAGGAGTTCTGGTTTTTGAGCCAATTTGGTCTGAAATAAATAGGTAGTCAGGAGTATACATGAACGTTTTGACCATTTAGGTATGAAATAAGTTGTGCCTGGTTTAGTCTGGTCATTAATTTTGTAAACTATCTCAGTTTATCGTTGTTGTCATTCATGTCTTGAAACTTTATATGTCTGGTCTGAAATAGTGTAATGAGTTTTGGGCCAGGTCTCAAATAGGCTATGTAAGCAGACATACACAATGCATTGTGTTGTTCCAGAAAACATCTACATCCTGCCCATGAACTGCACCCCTATCCCTCTGGAAATTCCAGTTTTGGTTGATACTATCTTAAAAAACTTTGGCTTTGAGATCCCCAGGGTGGGTATAAATATACTCTGAAACCACACTTTGGGTCTGAAAGAGGGTAAGTTCACCTAACCTTAAGCTGTCTGTCAATTTCTAGACAGCTACTGTGCTGTGGCCAATCAGATAGCAATTACTAGAGACAATTTCATGGCCTCTTTGAGGGAGAGATAATAACCTTGTGTTCATCATGTGATATGTGAATTAAAATCACCACATGTTCTCCTCTTCAAGAACCCAAGAATGCTTGCTAACAGATTATATATGTTTGTGTACAGTACTTCCCAACTTTATCCTTACAGTTAACCAAGGGATCAATTCCAGGGAATGCTGGTGATCTATGTGCATAAAACCATATCTGTTCTTGTCTTCAACATATCCCTATGGTTACCCCGTGGATGGTTCCCTGGGGGAAGACTGGTGGTAATGTCTAATGGTATAAAAAGCCCCTCATGTTCTCCTCTTCAAAAACCTAAGAATGCTTGCTCGCAGACTATGTTTGACCATA